CAAAGTTAGGATGGTGAATGGCTTGGAGGGGAACTTGCAGGTAGTGCTCTTCCTTTTGCTGTGGATTTGGAGTTGCATGTTGACCAGACTGCATGAGGATGGTAGATTTCCTTCGCTAAAGGACATTAAATAGGTTTTTCTGACAAATTACAATGGTTTCATGGTCTTCAGAAGATTCTCAATTCTAGATATTTTCTTGAATTCAAATTCCACCATTTGCCGTGGCGGGTTTTGAACTGAGTCCCAGAACGTTAGCCGAGTTTGTGGATTATGAGTCCAGTGATAATACCGCTAGACCATTCCCTCCCCTACATACATACTAATTTTCTGTGACTCACATACCAGAATGCTTAAATGCAGTTGTTTTCAATTTGTGTAATACTGTCTTTTTGTTCTTTTCCCCAAAATGAATAACTTTGCATTTTCCATTGTACTTTACCTATCAGATTTTTGCCCACTCACTCAACCTATCCATATCATCTGCATCCTCAAGTCTTCACAACATACTTTTCTGCCTATATTTGTTAATTGCAAATTTAGCTATCAATCTTGCACTCCACTCATCTGTCATTGTAAATTGTAAAGCGTTTATGCTCCAGCATAGACGCTTCTACCCCAAAACCACTTCCATCCACTATTTCTGTATCCCATGATGTCATTAGTATCCAGGGCTCTATAGATTTCTGCAATGTACATCCTCAACGATTCCGCTTCCACATCCACCTAGGGCAGGGATTCCAAAAATGTACCACCCTCTCAGTGAAGAAATTCCTCCTAATCTGAGTCTTAAATGGCCTACATTTTATCAGAAATTTGTTGCAAGAGTAGGATTTCTGTAATTGGCACAGTAGCTAATGTTCTTCAGACTTTAGATTTGATACACATTGTTTTGATTGAGTGACTTTATTCCATATTATTGAATCTGATCGAAAAATGCTTGACAACATTGGTGCTGTATCAGTGAAGTTGTGTTCCCATTCTTGAAATGCATCAGTTTTAATGAGCATAAGAATTCAGCAGAAAATGTATATATTATATCACAAACCCTAGTTAGTTTCTTCTGATTTTTTTTTCCAGTTAATTACATATGCTAGTGTTGTCCATTAGAGATTGCCAGTGTGACACATGTAGCTCATTAGCAATAATGTTAGCCACATGCCTTAAAAAACATTTAATTTAAATATCTAGCCCCAAGGTTGCAATTGTCACAATCTGAGAACGTTCCGATATTTAATAAGGCACGGTGGCTCAGTGGTTAGCACTGCTGCCTCACAATGCCAGGTCCCGGGTTCAATTCCACCCTCGGGCAACTGTCTGTGTGGAGTTTGCACATTCTCGCCGTGTCTGCGCGAGTTTCCTCCGGGTGCTCCGGTTCCTTCCCACAGTCCAAAGATGTGCAGGTTAGGTGTATTGACCATGCTAAATTGCCCATAGTGTTCAGGGATGTGTAGATTAGGTGGGTTGTAGGGGGATGGGTCTGGGTGGGACGCACTGAGGTTCGGTGTGCACTTGTTGGGCCGAAGGGCCTGTTTCCACGCTGTGGGAATTCTATCGCGCAGTCAGTGCTGTGGTGTAACGGTTAGCCCTCTGGACTCTGATTCCAGTGATCCGAGTTAAAGTCTTGGCGGGACCTCTAATTGCTGCGTCCGGACGAGTTGTTTCGGGGCGGCACGGTGGCTCAGTGGTTAGCACTGCTGTCTCACAGCACCAGGGACCCAGGTTCAATTCTATCCTCGGGCGATTGTCTGTGTGGAGTTTGCACATTCTCCCTGTGCTGCGTGGGTTTCCTCGGGGTACTCCAGTTTCCTCCTACAGTCCAAAAAAATGTGCAGGTTAGGTGGATTGGCCATGCTAAATTGTCCATAGTGTTCAGGGATATGTAGCTTAGGTAGGTTATATATATCTGGGTGGGATGCTCCAAGGGTCGGTGTGGACATGCTGGGCCAAAGGGCCTGTTTCCACACTGTAGGGATTCTATAAAAATAAATTCTACATATTCGCATTGCATCTTAGCACTTCACCAGCAAATACACAAAAGGTTGCACACATCGTGCAATATGAACAATGATCACATTGTCTGTTACTCATGCTTTTCTGAACAGGAATTGAAACCAATTAATCATACCTGGATTCCCATTTAGTCACTTGCTTGTGACTAATTCATTGGACAACATTGCCATATGTTGTTTGACCACTGATTTCAAAGGATTTGTTTTAACAAAAAGGTATATGTAAAACTTCCATGGGACCTTAGTATTGTTTCAGAAGTGAAGGAAAAAACAAAGAAAATTGGTGTTAACGGTGGATCTGTAATGTGCTTTTTTTTGCAATGGTTAAGTCCATTTTGAAATTTAAACAATAATATTGAAAATTCATTCCACTTGGCAAATGGAAATAGTTTCGAAAATCGCTAAAATATTTATTATGTAGAATAAAATGTTTCGCAGAATTCTGTAAGTCCAAAAACATGATATCCATTGAAGCATATTTTTTCATTTGAGAAAAAAGTTTGTTTATTCTCCTTGTATTGTTGAGTTATTGATATTTCTTTGCATACCAGTCTTGCAGTACTACTGTATAAATATGTAACTTAGCTGATGAGCAGAACAAATACTGCAAATTAGGGTCAATTTATCAAAACTGTGATATTGATACTTTTATCACAAAGTCTTGTGATACTCTGCTTCAGAAGTCGTCTTTTATTCATAATTATACATTCAATACAAGTTTAGCATAAATTGAAATTTAATAATTATTGTGATGCAAGTGGAAAGGTTGTAAAGAAAATAAACCTTTGAATAAGTTTAAACAAAATGATATTTAAGTATCTCCAGCAGGAATTAACAGCAAACTACTAAGTCTTATATTACTGAAGTAAATACAACTTGCAAGCTGCTAAGATTTAATATTAAAGAAGGAATTCTTGGTCCTTGTTTTTATTTAATTTTTTTGTAGTGTCTGTAAGAATTAAACTATGGAAAACAGGCACATCAGGTAATTACTAAAATACCTAGGTTACAAATATCTCTAATCTCTAATGTTAGTAAAATTGTTTAATCAATACTTGTACAGAGAAGATTGTACATATAATGCATTTACTTACTCTTAAGTTGACCATCCTTTATTCTGAATTGTGCTCTCTGGTCCTGGACTCTCCCACGAGGGGAAATGTCCCCTCATCATTTTTGCTATCAAGCCCCTTAAGAATCCTGAATGTCTCAAAGTCTCCCATTCTTATAAACTTCAGTGAGTAGATCCCCAACCTGTTTAGCTTTGGTCGTAAGACAAATCCCTCCATTTTCCTAGTGAACCTTCTTGGAACTGCCTCCAATGAAATGATATCTTTCCTTAAGTAAAGGGATGAAAACTGCTCAAAGTACTCCAGATGTTGTCACACCTGCACCTTGTACACTTGCATTAAGACTTTATTACTTTTACACTCCTTGAAATAAGGCCCAACATTCCAGTACCTTACTTGATTACCTGCTGCACCTGTGTGCTAGCTTTGTGTTTCATGGATAAGTACCACCAGTGCCCTTGGAGTTGAAGCTTTGTGTTGTTTCTTTTCTGTTTTCCCCATTTAAAAAATACTGTGTTCTTTTGTTCTCTCTTCCAAAATGAACAATTTCATGTTTTCCCATATTGTCCATTTGACAACTTCTTGCCCATTACATAACCTCTCAATCTCTCTCTGTAAACTGTTTGTATCCGCCTCTCAACCTGCCTTTCTGCCTATCTTTAAGTCATCGGCAAATTTTGCCACAGTATATTTGCTTTCTTCCTTGAAGTCATTAATATATTTTGTAAACAGTCGCAGTCACAACCCTGATCTCTGTGGAACTGCACTGGGCACCAACCTGAAAAAGAACCCGACTTGCAGTTTCCTGCCCATGAGGCAATTCTTTATCAGCGCCAGTTTACTACCTGCAACACCATAGGCTCTTATCTTATGAAATTTAACCATTTGTGAAGTACTTTGTTGAATGCCTTCTGCAAATCCAAATACAATATGTCTACTGGTTCCTGTCCATCCACTCCCTGGCTGATACTTCCTTGACAAACTGGAATAAATTAGTCAGGCGTGGTTTGCCTTTCATGAAGCCATGCTGTCTCAGCTTGATTAGATTATGATTTTCCAAATGTTCTGCTATTACTTCCTAATAATTGTTTCCAATACTTTACCAACAATAGATGTAAGGCTAATTGGCCTATAGTTACCTGCTTTTTGCCTCCCTTTTTAAATAGGGTAAGATAAGAGTAAAAGCTGCAAATTCTACTTGTATTCAGTTGAGATGGCTTTTGTAGAAATACCTACTACCAATGTTCCTTATAAGCTGCAAGGCAAGGGTACATGCACGGCGATTGGCATGTCAGTGCTGTCTGCAACTACTGGTTCCGGAAGGTACTGCTGAGTATGGACTTCAGAGGCCAATGCGGAACAAAATTAAGCAGTGGGAATGCAGCCCGTAACACATTATCTACTCCGGTGATAGCCTAAGTAAAAATTAATTTTAATGTAGTTAGTACTTCAAATGGCTATGACTTCGAAAAGATGCTGGGTACAGTAATTTTTATTTAACATTTGTTTTTATTCTGAATACTGCTAATGTTATTGCATGTTGAAAGCAGATTGTTGACAAAAAGGTTTTTAACATTGGTAAACAGGTTTTTAAAAATTCTTCAATAAGTGATTCCATAAATTAATATATAACCAACTGATTGTCATAGTTTTAATATTGGTTAGTGTCTTTTGGAAGTTGTTTAGTTATTAAAGGGATACTGCAATACAGGCCTTTAAAACTGAAGCCTTACTTATTCAATTGCACCTCTAATCTTGACACTAGCTAGTTTTGTTGTACAGCTGTAGTTTCAAAAAAAGTGATTTTTAATGCATATTTACTAATGAGAACTCCTATTAAGAATTAATTCTATGTGTGTTTGATAGTCTAAAAGATTATCATAGGCTGTTTACTCACATTGGGGTGTTGAATCTTGAAAAGGACCCTACTGGAGCAGATGAAAGGGGAACAAGACCGGGCAAATTGCTCGAGACACTCAGACAATTGAGAATTAATCATAGGGGGAGCTACCGTCATCTAATGGAGGAGATGCTGGCTAGTTACAGGCTAGCTCAGATCCAGGGGGAAGCAAATACCACCGAACAAGCTGCTTCCACTGCAGTAATGCCTGCTAGACAATCAGAGACCAGGTTGCAGGCTGATGAGACTCGTCCTGAGGATGTAAACTGAACTGATTTGAAGATGTAGTAATAAATGAGAAACCTTAAAAGTTCATGATTCCAACATTGTGTATCAATTGTGTTTTCAAATTTATTACATTGCATGAGTTTGTGATCTCTATTGCATGTCTTCTTTTTAAAAAAAAAAATGTTTTGTGCATGTGGATCAGCTTTTTTTTATCAGGTTGCCATATCCACCCAAGCAGTGACAGTTAATTTTTAATATCTGTTTGTAGCACGTCAGTTTTTATTTTGTTGTAAAAAAATGTAAACACATCAAATGCATGATTCAGAACAGATACTATGACATTGATAAATCTATCATGCTTATTGTAAATGTCAGTTATTTGTAAACAATGACTATGGGCATGTTCTTGCTTTTTTTTTTGCAGTATTCAGCCAGAGAGGGGATTTGTCTTTTTTGAATGTGTAATAAAGCTTTATACCATGTCTGGACCATTGTTTAACTTGCACTTTTTACATGTTAATATGGATATTCTTTCTTCACTGCAATAAATATCCAAAGTAAAACGTGAAACCAGATAGTTGTGTTTTACGTTTAATAAATGACTTGTCTGGGGATGTACTGCTTTTTCATTTTAAAGATGTAAACTCTGCAGGCAATGACTACAAATTTGTGCATTTCAGTACATTGCAGTTTTAATTTTTATAAACCCATTTTCAGTAAGTGCACAGTTTTACACACATTTCTGATTCTTATTCAAACATTTATATATGTTGCTATTTCCACATCTTGCCTTAAAATAATCAAAGCTGTCAGATTGTTTAGAAAATAACCGAGACTACGTGCACAACTATGTATTGTTTGAGACTGCACAGACCCTCTGAGCCAACGTATAACTTACTGCAAGAAATTATTTTGGCTAACTTCTTCAAAAAAAAAATCTAATTATTTTACCAGGTAGCGAGTTGGTTATTTTCAATAAAGATTTGATGAAATGTTTTTCTAAGTTGTATACTGTAATTTTTTTTGAGGGAAGGTGTGTGAAAATGTGGGTAATGGTTGAGAAATTGGGTATGCATGCAGAACAGCACATTTCATTTAAAAATAAAAAGGACACAAATTTCTAAAATATGGGCCTTTTTTAAAAAAAAATCCTGTATATTGATTAGTGGTTGAATGTAATAGAAATGGAATGGAGGGTTTTTTTCCCTGATATTTTATGTATTCGTTAAACTTTTGATTCTGGCAAACAGGATTTGCTTAAAAAAGACTCTGCCTTAAATTTGCACATATCAACTGTATTCTGGCATTGAGTTTGAAATGCTATGTATAAGTACATTATTTGATTTTAATGTTCCACATAAATTGCATAGAAAAGGAACTCTAGTGGGGACTGTGCAGATCAAGACATCAAATTGCAAGCATACAATACAGTGTTGTCAGCAAACAAATCAAACCTTCATGTAGCAAGCTTGAGCACACCTGATTTAGAGGCTGTTTATTAAAAATTTGAAATCTATTTTCTGAAGACTTGCCTATAACGTAGTTATATTGTAAATCATTTCTGTGCTGTTCCTGTGTGTGAAATATTGTATTATTATATATAAACTTTAAACCATACTAATTCATGATTTTATAAAAGAAACTCATTGGGTTAATATTTTTCATGATTTCTACCTCCTTCCACAGATTTCATCTTTGCCTTTCTTGCAATTTGCAAGTTTTTGCCCTTGCAAATGAAAGATCTCAGAAATTGATGAAGAACAAAGCTAATTCAAGATGCAGTGTCATATAATTCAGAAGTAGATTAATTTGTTAATTGTTATAAAATTGGTCCTGGGAAGCATTTCACAACCTTTATCCAATTTCTTTATATTAAAAGATTACTTTGTACAATTGAATCTATATTTATAGATAAGCAGTTTGAACACTTGAAATGTTTTGAAATAGAAGTATTTTACAATTTTTGTATTGTTGCTTGTAATTACATTTCAATTTGGCTTGAGTAAACTTTGAATTTTAACCACCTTTTTCTCTAGTTTTTTTTTCTTAAGAATCCAGCTAACATGTTGTAAAGGGTAGGTGTTAAATGATGTGTATTCATATATAAGACAACATTTATCATTTTGTGCATAGCTATTCCAGTTTCTTAAAGTAATATAAACCCTTTTCTTTCCTTTTAGTTAAATATTCAACAGGTAAGGCATCTGAAAAACTTCTGTATATGTGATGGAGATTGCAAGTGTAATAGTATTATTTTGTTTCTCACAGGGTTCCGCAGATCTTGAAGACCCCTGGTAGTTAAATAGGCTAGAATCGCTAAGAATTTCCTGGTTTGAAATATGGAAGAAACCTTCGTTCACACACCTTTTATTTACTACAAGGGAAATTAAAAATCCAAAGGATCTTCTTTTAAAGTCATTTTGTCAGAAGGGCAGGAGGAGCTTAATTGTTAGAATTATACACCATTTGTTCATTTCTTTTTGCATATTCTAATATTGCCACTCTTGCGCATCTTCCTGTAAAACAGTATTTTGTTGACTGCCTCAGACTTACTGATTGCATCTGTACCCAACTTGTTGCCTGACGGAATGGTGATGCTGTTAGGAGATGTAATAAAGTACCAGGGGTGCATGGATTTCTAGTTTCATTTGGAAGATGCACTAAGTACTGTTAATTTAAATCTAACTCACCGGACATGAGCATGTACAAATTGCTGTATAAGGCATTATTTGATTGCAAGGTTCAAGGTTGAGAGCTTCTGCACCTATCTCAGGCCCAGAGGGAACATGCAGTAAGCAGAATGCTGTAGAAATTTATTTTGTGTAATTCTTCACTTCAATTTCTGCTGTACTACCAAATACTCAGTTTTCTCTGCTGTCAGATATGCAGTATATGTTGTCTACGGCTTGCTTGAAGATAACATTGCATTTGGCAATAAATATAGCAAATGTATGGTAAAGTTCCCTTATGATTTTAAAGCATGTGTAGATTATAAGCTCTTGCTAAGCAGAACCTCTGGACAAAAATGAATAGATTAATTTATGCTTCTGTGTCAATTGTCATTTGCTTTAAACATCCCATCATTATTGCAGAAGTTGAAAATATCGCTATAAAATTTGCCTTTCTCACATACTGTAAATTGTGATTTTGTTCTACATGTGGTTTTCTATTAGTATCATTGATTTGCAGCAGAAATAAAGAGACAGCCTTGTGTAAACTGGGGTATAGTTTTGCAAAAGAGAGTCGTTTGCATTAACAATTTCAAAACTAGAGATCACATAGATTTATAAATGCAATTTAAAATATTCTATTGTGAATTTAAGCTTTACAGAATTTTTAAAAATTTTTGTTCAGTGATTTCTTTTTCTTCATTCATTGTGGAATGGGCATGGTACAGAGTGGCTGTCTTTTAAGGTACTTGAAGATTCTTTGATTTGTATTTCTGCAGTAACATGATTTTACTGAGTAAGTTTGAGTTATGCATGTATTAAAGTTTGGTTTAAGTTAATGGTTGAGGGAAAGGGTATTTGAGCAGCATTGAGGGCAGAGAAAGCAATGAATGTATCCACTTGTACACAATACACATGCTATGGATGCCTTTTAAGATATAAATAATGCAGCTTGTCTGTTAATGGTGTATTGTAGACAATGTTCATTGCCCTTATACATGATTGAAACATACTAATGAGTGATGCTGATTTTGAATCTGTATAAAATTGAGTTCATTTGTATTTCTCTCTAACTTTGTTTTTTTCCCCTCATTTAAGTCTTTAAGCTGGAAAGCTGCCTGTTACCATACACCCTTGAGCACTGGTGCCTACAACCAGCTTCCCCAATCGTTTGGTTCATTGTGTAGGTATGATTCTTGGCCTAGAGAGTATGATTATTGCCAGTGTTTTTATTTATTCACTAGATTTTAGCTACAACAATGAAAATGTCCTGAAGAAGATGTTTAACAGGTGTTTTAACCCTTTGTTAAGATTATGGGGTTGTTTTAGGATAGGGGATGAAGAGTGCACAAGTGGTTTCTTATTTTCCACAGTCTGTCCACTCTGGTCCTTCCCTGTACTGACTATAGTATATTCCCTGTATGATATTTGTGATGTTTCATACAATACAGTGATCATAACCACCTTGTTATCTTCAATAAAGGATTGCTAAATGCATTGTGACTTTTGTATTTACAGTTTGTATCACGTTATGTACTGCCAAGAATAAACCCTTATCACTATTTTGTACGCTTACCTACGATAGAGAGAGAGCTGATTCTTGTAGTTATCTTTAGCCATATCTACATTATTATGTGAGTAGTAGACATGTAATTCCTACAGGTTTTAAAAAAGTCTGAACGGAACTTAAGTTTGGATTTCAAGAGGGGTTTTGAATTCTGTTAGATATTGGGACTCTGTATTCTAAGGTCAGAAAGACTGCAAAACATTTATTTTCAAAAGTGGAATTAAGTTTGCTGTGTTAACTATTTCCATAGTGCAGCCTGTTTTGTTTGATTCTCACAGTCTTTTTGGAATAATGGAATTGATAAAACTTTACAGTCAGTTTCATTACTGTATGTAAATATTGGTTGATCTGACATTTAAAATATTTTCATCTTAGAACTGAAGATCCAGTTGGCCATTCAAATTGTCTATGTGTTGACTATGTAATTTGTGTTTATATTGAGCACTTGTTAGTGCTTTAAGAACACTTGCACTTAGACATTCACTTTAAATCATTGTTATAACCCGAGTTGTGTAATTTCTGGAATATACTTCCCATTTACTCAAAAGTGAAAATGATGAGTAATTTGCTTTTGTTTGATAAATAAAGTATATGGCTTCTTGTTTGTTACATATCAAATCAAATTAAATAAGATAACATTGCTTGAAACAGAAACATAAAATGTTTGAAATATATTGTTGACCAGTCAACATCTCTCGAGTGATCTTAATGATATTTTGGAGTTGTCATTCAGGAGCAATGCTTGATGTTCTGCCACTGTAGTCTTACAGTAAACACGACTTCTTCTATCTCCTAAACAAAGCTACAACTTTGAAAACTGTTTACAGCATTTTCGTGAGTCACAGTTGCAAGATGAATGGGGAAGAAATACTTAAAACATTGATGTTACAAGCATTCGATTGTCTTTCTGTGATATTTATCCAATTCATTATAGACTTACATTAACAGTTACTGTGTAGCTTTTTATCCGAATATGTCAATCATATTCATTTTATTAATTGTGATCAAATGCTCTGGAATTTTCTGGCATTTGATCAACCTCATTCTTTGTTATTATATGTGTTCATTTTGTGACGGCAAATGCTTATAGAAATTTGCTCTGTAAAATTGAAATTTCTGAATTGTGATAAGATGTTGATATCTTACTGTTTCACCAACTACAAATATACAGTGGTCTGTAGTTTTAGTAAATATATTTACTGATTATCAAATTATAACCAGAGCTACATGCTAACTGTATTCACAGTCTATCTTGTAGAACTGCTTGGTTTGGAATTTACAGTACTCTTGTGAGGTAAGAAGATGGATTGACAGATTTCCACTGTAAATATTTAACAAAAATGAAAGTAAGAGTTAAAAGATCAATGTTTTGGTGGCTTTACTTTCAGCACATAGCTTTCAGCACTTGCTGCTATCAATTGTTGTTTTAAAATTCTGTATTAATTCCTCTTGCCAAGAAGACGTTATTCAATTGTATAATCTATGTCTGCAGCTCATTCTTCCCTGCCAAAAGAAAAATGTACATGAACAGTCTTGGGTGAAAGGTTGTTTTTGTTCATGAGACTAAGATTAGTTTAGATGTTAAGTGTCTTCTATTATAGTTTTCATTTTCTCTGTGGAGTAACTGTATTTATCTTTGACATGTGAAAGCTTCAAGGATATCAGTGCAGACCTGTGGGATATCGAAGTAAAATAAATCCTGGATTAAGTGATTATAGATCCATTAAAATTGCATTTTGGAATCTGTACTAACTAGCTGTTACCTAATTTTTCAGGAACAAATGCAATTGATCACACAACATTGGAGACTTTAAAATATTTCTATTAGTGTGTGTGCAACTTCTCTACATTCTGTGTACGATTTAAAATATTCAGTCTTGCATTCCTTGTTACATAGATGTCAACCATTTGAGAACCATAGTATATTTTGCAACTTTGAAAGAGCAGTTTCTAGTGCTGAATTATACATAGCTTGGAATTTATAGCTTTGGAGTGATTGTGGGCTTGGAAACAGGACAAAGTATTAAATGTGCAAGGGGTTCAAAATATCACCCTGTGCATGCCAGTGAATGGTGAGTTCTGACAGCAGTGTTTTATTTTGGAAGTATCCTGGTCTGTATTGAAATGGTAAGTACAGCTTGGATTGTCTTTACAAACTAAAAGACAAAAAAATACAAGGTAGCGTGTTCTGAGCTGTATTAAAGTTTCTTTCCAAAAATCAGCCAACATTAGACAGAGGTCATTCATAATATATTCACAGGACATTGGCGTGCTGCTGTGGCTGCATTTATTGCCCGCCCTAGTTGCCTGAGCAAGTAGCGATGGGCCTTTCCTTTTAACCTTTTTCGTCTGTTAGTGATACTGTAAGATGACGAGTTTCAGGAAATTGGAACAGTGATTAAATGTTTAAGTCAGTGTTGAGAAACTTGAAAGTGATGCAA